TTATATTATTTTTGTTATTAATTGTATTTTTTTGTTAATTGTATTTATTTGAATAAATGTATGTTAATATGACAAAAAAAAATTGGTACCAGCACAGATACAAACACATTTTACCTGTTAACAATTGCAGGCCGTATTATGAGTAATTTTTACCGGCGTCCAAAGTGTAATTTACCTCCCAAACGCAGGCCTGAGCCAAATCTCACATTTACAACCTAATTTGTTCCCATCTTCCACAGGTGCAGGAGCCAAAAGTCTAACATCCACAATAACCGTGTCACTCTTACGTGGCCTTTCCTCACGGCCTTTTCCGGTCGGCTTGAGCTGTGAGACGTATTCTTCTTTCTATGACTCTGGCAGACGGGCCAAACGAACGGCGAGAGGAAGGGGAGGACTAAAGGGTGATTACACAAAGCGCGGAGAGGAGAACAGCCGTCTTTGTGAAGCGCGAGACATGAAAGGCGTTTGATACATCAACTTGCGCAGAGAAAATCTCGGCAGCTTGTTCCTGCCACTGTGCCGGGAACAGCGGGGGTGCATTGAAGCCCACCGCAGCCATTAAAGGTTGAAATGGGAAACGCCAAGGATAACAAAGCCCTGATTTTGACAGCTTTTTTGGAGCATAAGATCCACTGATGTGTGAAATGCAAGCAATGTGCCTTTTGAACAAGAAGGGGTTTGTTGCCTGAGCTCTGGACACTGGGTGGGAGAGAAGAGGAGGGGTGTGTGTGTGTGTGCGGGGTCTAAACCAGAACAGGTTGTTTTCCAGTCTCTGTCCCTCCTGGCTAAGCACTGAAGAGAGTAAAGCTGACATCAGTAGATGTGTATTGAACAATCTGCTTTTCAAATTCCCACATCAAATGCTTTCCAGTAGCGCTGCCGTTCCCACGGCTCTCGGCCCCGCCCCTCTCTTCACACTATACAATTCCAAATTTACAGAGCCCCTAAAGAGTCATGATGATGGTAAAAAATGAATTAGTAGGAGAAAACAACAGTTTTCTAAGAGAATGCAACATTTTTGCGAGAGAACGCAAAGTTTTTTGGAGGAACACAACGGTTTTGCGAGAGAATGCGGTTTCTCAGGGAAATGCAATAGTTTTGCGAGAGAACCCAAAAGCCGCCTTTCCACTATCGGGCCGAATGGTTCTCTTTGCTTAACCGTTCCATTCAACCGTTTCATTTTCCACTGTGGTGCTGATAACAGAGCTCTTTGGAATGTAATACAAATGCGTCAGTCGTTGAAATGCAAGCAATGTGCCTTTTGAACAAGAAGGGGTTTGTTGCCTGAGCTCTGGACACTGGGTGGGAGAGAAGAGGAGGGGTGTGTGTGTGTGTGCGGGGTCTAAACCAGAACAGGTTGTTTTCCAGTCTCTGTCCCTCCTGGCTAAGCACTGAAGAGAGTAAAGCTGACATCAGTAGATGTGTATTGAACAATCTGCTTTTCAAATTCCCACATCAAATGCTTTCCAGTAGCGCTGAAGATACGGACGGAGTAAAGTCATCTAAATAGGATTACTGCAAATACACGCATACTGTAAGCCGTCCAACATTATAACTACAGTATAACTGTTCTCCTAATGCTGACATTTAGTTAAACATCTAAATGTCAACTTTATAGTTTTTGTATACTGTAAAAAAAAACAATATAACACTTTCTTTGGTTGTATAAAAGTAATAAATGATATATAAATATATCTATATGTGACGAGAGGGGCGGGGCCGAGAGCCGTGGGAACGGAGCGAGGCCGGTGGAGTAATTGCTAATGAGCGACACCTGCACCACTCACCGGTCTCGAGTCTCACAGAGGAGCTCCGGAAGGATAAAAAGGAGGAGTGACGACAGTGAAAGAGAGAGGATCCAGGCCTGGTCCTGGAGCAATTACTCCACCGGCCTCGCTCCGTTCCCACGGCTCTCGGCCCCGCCCCTCTCGTCACCATTAGCCGCTTTTCCACTATCGGGCCGAATGGTTCTCTTTGCTTAACCGTTCCATTCAACCGTTTCATTTTCCACTGTGGTGCTGATAACAGAGCTCTTTGGAATGTAATACAAATGCGTCAGTCGTTGCCTTGGTAACGCAAGCGTAAGGCAAACAGCGATATGGACGATGATCAGATATTTCTGTTTTGGGACTCCTTTTTTTATCTGATATTTACTTCGTTAAATAACAGAAAAAAGGACAACTCTTGACGCGAAAAAAAATAAATAAACAGAATATCAATAAGCGCAAATGTTTCCTTCACAGACCAAACTGTCTCAGACATTTTTTTTCTTTTTTATATTGAACGTAGCGTAGCTGTTTACTTGGCTGTTTGATCAAATAGCACGCTTCCGCTTAGCCAGCTATGGAGAAACTGGCAGCCAGGCAACAGAGTGGCCACGTCACACACACGCACTCTACCAGCACGGCTCAGCATGGTTGTCTAACCATGCCGAGAATTCCGGGCCGAGAACTGTTTGTAATCGTGCCGTGCCATACCAGCTCACGTGGAAATACAACTGGAACCGTACCTGACAGTTCTTAGAACCGATAGTGTAAAAACGGCTAAAGTTTCTCAGGGGAACATAATAGTTTTGTGAGAGACTGCAAATTTTCCCTGGGGAACGCATAATTTTTGCAAGAGAACACAAAGTTTCTTGGAGGAATGCAACAGCTTTGTGAGCAAACGCAACGTTTCTAGGGGAACGCAACAGCTTTGTAAGCAAACGCAATGTTTCTACGGGAATGCAACAGCTTTGTGAGCAAACGCAACATTTCTAGGGGAACGCAACAGTTTTGCGAGCAAACGCAACGTTTCTCAGGGAACATAACAGTTTTGCGAGCAAACACGACATTTCTCAGGGAATGCAATAGTTTTGCGAGCAAATGCGACATTTCTCAGTGAATGCAATATTTTTGCGAGCAAATGCGACGTTTCTCAGGGAATGCAATAGTTTTGTGAGCAAATGCAACGTTTCTCAGGGAATGCAATAGTTTTGCGAGCAAATGCGACATTTCTCAGGGAATGCAACAGTTTTGCGAGCAAATGCGACGTTTCTCAGGGAATGCAATAGTTTTGTGAGCAAATGCGACGTTTCTCAGGGAATGCAATAGTTTTGCGAGCAAACGCAACATTTCTCAGGGAATGCAATAGTTTTGCGAGCAAACGCAACGTTTTTCAGGGGAATTAAATATTTTTGTGAGAAAACAGTTTCTTGGAGGAACAAAAGTTTTGCAAGCTAATGCAAAGTTTCTCAGGGAATGCAACAGTTTTGCGAGCAAAAGCAAAGTTTCTCAGGAGAACATAATTTTGCGAGCAAACGCAAAGTTTCTTGGAGGAACACAGTGGTTCTGTGAGAGACGCAGCTTCTAAAGGAAATGCTAAAGTTTTGCGAGAGAAGGCAAAGTTTATTGGAGGAATGCAAGAGTTTTGTAAGCTAACAAAGTTTGTCAGGGGAATGCAATAGTTTTGCGAGCAAACGCAAAGGAATGCAACAATTCTGCGAGTGAACGTTTAGGGCCAGATGTACTAAACAGGGCCAATTCCCTGGGGAATACAACATTTATGCAAGCTAAAGCAAAGTTTCTTGGAGGAACGTAACAGTTTTACAAGCTAATGCAAAGTTTCTTGGAGGAATGCAACAGTTTTACAAGCTAATGCAAAGTTTCTTGGAGGAACGTAACAGTTTTACAAGCTAACACGAAGTTTCTTGGAGGAACGCAACAGTTTTGCAAGCTAACGCAAAGTTTCTCAGGGGAACGCAACAATTTTGTGAGCGTACGCTTGGGGCCAGATTTACTAAACAATTCCCTGGGGAATGCAACATTTCTGCAAGAGAACGAAAAGTTTCTTGGAGGAACGCAACAGTTTTGCGAGCTAATGCAACATTTCTCAGGAAAACGCAACATTTTTGTGAGAAAATGCAAAGTTTCTTGGAGGAACAAAAGTTTTGTAAGCTAACTAGGGCTGTGACGGTGACAGATTTTTACCACTGCGGTGGTAATGGACCAACTACCGCCGGTGGTGCGGTGTTGATAGGATATATATATATATATATATATTAGTATATGTGTAATTTATGTATAAAAATATATATATGCCTATAATTTTGAAACACAAATAATAAATGAGGCTCAATCATCTATTAACAAACATGCGTGTTTATTTTAGCACTTCCGTCAGTGAACACGAAGCCTGCAAAACACTCAAATAAATATCAAAGAAATAATACAGTTAAACAAGAAAGTAGCCTAAATAAGAAAGTTAAATACTCCCTGTCTACAGGACACGAGCGGTGTGGCGCGACACGTCAAAATACTATAGAACTCATTATAATCAGTGATGCTGTCTACAGTGGATGTGGCATGACATGACACGACAAATCCCCAACAGTAAACTGCCTCGTCTTGTTTATGAGGTACTGACACAAAGTTCAAATGTCCTGTGTAGACAGACTCAACCTGTTGCGACGCCAGGGCCTCATTAAGACCTTAAAGGGCCCCGGGGCTATGACTTACTGCAGGGCTCCCTATTACAAATATAATATATATATTTTGATATTTTGATATAATATATATTTTTATCCTATCAAAATTATACTCCTAATTTTGAAAGGATAAAAAAACTATTTTAAAGGAATAGCTCACCCAAAAATTAAAGGTCCGTTGTTGTTCTAAACCTGTATGAGTTTCCTTCTGCTGTTGAATGTAAAAGTATATGAAGAGTTCATTTGCAAAAACAGATAACAATTTTAATTGTGCATTCCAATTATTCTCGATCAAACTGCAGTTGGGTTATTTTGATTAAGTTAAAACATAACAAAACAAATACAGCTAACTAATACAATAAAAGACAATAAAAGCATGATAACAATAAAAAACATGATTTTGGAACATTTTAATAAACTGAGTTATCTGTCTTTGCAAATAAACTCTTCATAAATACAGCTAACTAATACAATAAAAGACAATAAAAACATGATAACAATAAAAAACATGATTTTGGAAAATTGTAATAAACTGAGTTATCTGTCTTTTCAAATAAACTCTTCATATATTTGGAACAATACTGCAACCCAACAGTTGCAGGGCCCCCATGACTTCCATAGTATGAAAAACAAAATACACTACTGGAGTCAATGGGGACCAGAAACTTTCTAGTTACGAACATTCTTCAAAATATATTATTTTATGTTGAGGAGAACAAAGAAATTCATACAGGTTTAGAACAACTTGAGGCTGAGTAAATGATGACAGTATTTTCATTTTTGGGTTAACTATCCCTTTAAAATCTCGTCATATTAGGATCTCATATAGCCTACTACTACACTTGCTTTATATTTAACTATTAACGTTCATTTAAGACACAAATGACTGTGTTGACGAGGAGACATTTTGACACATAACTGTGCATTTGAACGTTTAAGCACAAGGCGCGAAAAATAACTCAAGTTTAGACTGTCGCTGTTCGAGCAGGTGCGCCACGCGAGTCAGGCTGAAACCGCAACGCGCGCATTTGCCAAAATGAATTCTGCCCCATTGCTTAATTTGTTTTTAAACCACAATGCTTAAAATGCGTTTAAATGAAAAGCTTAACCTAGCCTACATCATGCTGCTCAAAACGATTGATAGGCTATATTTCTACCGGTTTATCTCTCAACCCATAAGCGAATACTTTGTTCAAACACAAAAAGCAATATACATCCATCAAGTTGTTTACTTGTTAATCAAACTAACCTAAAATCTGTGGGGATGATGACGCTGTGTTTTTATCTGCTCCATGTGCCCGGTCCACTTGCTGTTTCACAACTTCCACTCCATCATCAGCTTTAGTAAAATAACCTGATAGCTGGGGATTTTACTGACTAACTCATGTTTTCCCCTCTCTCCTCGTTTTTTTTTTAGAATAGCCCCTCTCTCACTTTCTTTTAGAATAGTTTACATTTTTACTTATCGAAGACTGTTCTTTGCATGACCATTTCCAGGTTATGCCAGAATGAAGTGAAGAGGGGTGTATGTGGACATTGCAGTGATCACCTGATTGATACGTGGTGCACGGGTCGTTCAAAAGTAAAAATATAGAATAAATGCATTTGGGTAATGCATGGAATATATGGAAAAGCTCCACTAAATAATAGCGCTAATATGTGAGGGGCGGGGCTTTGGCAATCGGTGCTACCGATGACCAGGCAAAACAGCCCACAGCCAATCACGGGCCCCCTCCTTGTACGGGCCCCGGGGCTTCAGCCCCGCCTAGCCCAATGGTTAAAGCGGCCCTGGTGACATGAATGTAGATATCTCCAGATCGGCGATGTAGTATTTTGTTTCCCAACAAGGTCCATCGCCCAACACAAAATTAATTTGCTGAATGCAGAATAAATTATTTTCCTGCGCTCAAACCTGCCAATCTAAAGGAAACGCTGTGTATGGCGTTTGAGGTAATTTGTGAATTAGGCTACCAAAGACTTATAGTCTAAATAAAATTTATAGTCTAAAATTTAAATTTGTATTATGCTTGTTATAGAGTGTGTGACGTCACGTGCACTATAAAGAATGAGAATGTGACGTAACGCCGCGTTGAGTTCTGGGAAACTGCTTTGTTTATCCGCCATACTTGCAGGATAGCGCTGCCTTTCCGCTATTGAGTTTAGGGCAGTATTTGATTGTTTGTCGTGATTGTGAAAAATGTCACCAGTTTATGTCATTCATGCTGCATCGAGAATTGCAATAGTAACTCAGATCATCGTTCTGAGAGAAAACTGGACAATGCAATATTTTTTTTCGCCTTTTCTATGTGTAAAAACACCAAGGGAAGGAGGCCGCGGAGAAGACGCCGAATAGTAAATCTGTTAATGTCACTGATTAAACCCACTGTCTCTCACTCAATAAAAGAATCACATTGCTGTGTGTTTTTGAAAGGTTTGATTTTGTTGGTTTAACAGTTAACATTACCTTCTTTGCGAGCATTACTCTCACTAGGCTTGTAAATTAGCAGAACTTGAACAGGGGACTTTCTAAAATGCTTAAAGTGGCTTAATGTACCAAGACAGTGATAAAGACAAAATTGTAAAGCATATAAGAGGAAAATGATTTATGTTTAACGTTTAAACACGTCGCGTTAAAGGGGTCATATGATGCGATTTCAATTTTTCCTTTCTCTTTGGAGACGAAGCTCCTGCAGGCAGCGGAGATTAATATGGCAGAGGCCATTAAGGATCTGCGCGCGGCGACGGACTTCGCGCTGATGGCGACGAAGCCGGCTGAAGCAGCAGCAAGCGTCCAGCGGGCAACACTGTTTTCACGCTAATCAGGTAAACATTGTAAACCAAATTCTACAAAACCTAAGAGAAAAAAATCGAATTATCATGCAGTGCAATAAAATAGCTTCTCTTCCCTGCAAACTATACAATGAATAATGAATGATTGTTTAACTTAAAGGCAAAAACAAACGATAAGCAGTTATCCTTATCCACCTTTTTCTTCAACGTGGAAGTAAGCCTATGGGTGAGACTTCCGGTTCATTAGCCACTATAGGTAAATAACGAGGAGAATAACAACGTGCAGTAAACGGTAAAACTGTTTGCACTACAAACCAGTGTGTTCACTGTCATAAATGTTGTATGCACCTGGCAAACTCAACTATTTGTATTACAGTCTAATCTAGTCCACATTAATTAAATGTAAACAGGTATGCATGCACTGCTGTGCTACTACAGGTATTTTGAACAATGCAACTTGAAATTGTACTAAAAAGTTGTGCAGACCCTTCAGCAATTGGGGCATTTGAAAGTAAATTACATGTTATGTGTTATGCTGTTTAACACCGTTATCTCTGTGCAGCCCCTGACAGTAATGTTCTTGCTTCTGCCCTGTTCTCAGCGCAGCCAACGTTATTAATGATATTAATATTAATAACGATTAATGATGACCAGATATGCAAATTTCGTATGCCTGGGCATTAGACGCTCATTGGCTTATCTCCACCTATCAGCTGCGAGCCCGCCTAACAAGCGTCGCTATTGGTTGGGAATTGTGTGTGTTCTATCTTCGCTGAGTGTGTAACTTGTACAGGCTGCTCATAGCCTCTCTCAAGGCGGGAATGAATATCGTTCCCATAACGGAGAAATATCTCCGTGATGTCTCGTGATAGCTCGAGAGGGATCGCTCCGGTTACTATCGTAACCTCGGTTCCCTGAGAGCGGGAACGGGTTCGCTGCTCGATCAGCTAAGCTGCGCACCCGTTTGTAAAGAAGCTTGTAAATTAACAAATTTTTCTATCCAATGCTGTCACATCACGTGACAAAAGAACACGTGACACTTTCCGGCTCAGACTGCATTGGTTAAAGCGTATGGGGCTGTCACGTGATGAACGAACGACTCAAACCCGAAGATTTTGCTAAAATTAACGAAATGACTCGAAAAAAAGATTCGTTCATTTTGCTGAACGAGACTCAAAGGTCCGAGTCGGTAAAATTATCCGAACTTCCCATCACTAGCAGTGACGAGGAGAGTGAAACATGCGCGCTCAACACTGCCGGGCGGGACGCGACGCGGCGCGCCATATATATTATTATTATTATTATTATTATTATTATTATTATTATATGTAGCCTATATTTTCGGTGCATCCCTACTTACATCCCCTCCTTGTTTACAAATCCGAAGTAAGTCCATATACATCCAATTTAAACGCAGACGGGGCTTACCTGATAACTTTCCGCGATGCCGCCCTCTTTATTTTACCAACTTACTGCATGCTGAAGGTGACCCAGCTGACCTCACCAGAAAAAAACTCAACACCACCATCTAGTGGACTGTAAAGAAATGTATTTTTTTATTCTACCAAATAGTATAATAAAAGATCGATACTTGGCGTCTGTGTATCGATACAGTATTGCCGCGGAAAATATCGCGATACTATGCTGTATCGATTTTTTCCCACACCCCTATAAGACACACCAACTTTCAATATCAAGCAGCAAAACAAACTGTTTTGTTCAGCTAAAAATAGCTGGACGGAGTGGACGCAGATGGGACTGGAAGCCAGACCCATAGAATTTACAAATGGCCGTGCCCATTTTTACGACAAGAAAAAGGTGGATAGAGAATGAGAAGTAACCATGGGAACGGATGTATCCTGCTAATATTGCGGCGCCTTCCCGAAATGCAATGCGGAGTGAAAAGATCATGACGTAACTCCTCATTCTCTATTGCCGGTGGCAGTAGACAACCGCTTGACGTGGTTGTCACGGCGACCGTCACAGCCCTAAAGCTAACGCAAAGTTTCTTGGAGAAACGCAATAGTTTTTCAAGCTAACGCAAAGTTTTTCAGTGAATGCAGTAGTTTTGCAAGTAAACGCAACGTTTCTCAGGGGAACGCAAGGATTTTGCGAACGAGGAAGAATGATTCATTCATACATCAGACATTGCGATTCTAGAAAAGAACATTCTAAACTGCACTGGGTGTAACACTGCTTAACTCGACATAATGGTTCAGAAATTACCCATAATTCTTAGCAAAATGCGTTGAGGAAACGTGTAGGAGATGCAAACACAAACCTTATCTGCCACGCTGCCTGGCACCACAGTCCTGACCACCATTCCTGTTGCCTTGCCTCCGACAATCCCAAATCCCAGGCCGGATCCATCGTTCACCAGCTCGATCTCCTCCACGTGTCCCCACTGATCCTGCAAAAGACACACACAGGAGACAGTTTTCAATCTCTTGTCTTGTCTTATACATTAGAGGTCAGTGGGCATTGGTCATAATTTACTTTGAGCCACAAAACTGTCTACTTAAAGAATAAAGATCCATTCAATCACCTTTGATTGTCTAAATAGGGAGCAATTGACGACCCAAGACCTATGACTACATCCTGCGACAGAGTCGTAATAGGGTACGAAATGCTAATGATCGTGTTAACGGTGTGATCCCGCAGTGGCTGATCAATGTCAGGGTCAGGAAAGCCCACGAGAGTCTTTGTGATCTCCCGTCATTGGCGCTCCTAATCACCCAAGTCTCCTTGGGCTCATATAAATGACCTGCAATCAGTACATTTCTGTTCTCTTATTACCAGGCTGTTATCTGCCGGGTGACTACCTCTGCAATTTTCTCACTATCTAATGAAACCCCTCCTCTGCCGTTCGCCCCGTCGCTCTTTCGAAACAAAGCTTTACACTAGCGCTCACCCTGCTGTGAGGAGAAAAGAACCGAAGATAAGAAGTCTCTTTCTGAGTCCCCAAAGAAAAACTCAAGTACTTTTTGAGACTTACTTACCCGGGTTCGAAATTCACCACTGTCATGATTCATCAGTGTACATTAGATCAGGGATAAAATTGTCATTCTTCAATCTTACGCAATTTGTATGATGTTGCATAATAGATGCATATGGATGTGGTTAGGATTGGGTTTTGTAATTAAAAAAAAGGGGGGGGGGACACAAAACTAAAACGAAAAACAAAACATACAAAACCTAAAAATAAATTAATAAACAAAACAACAAAAAGAAACAAAAAGACTAAAAACGAACAATAAAATAACAAAAACCAAAAACAAACAAAAACACAAGACAAAACAAATAAATCAATAAAACCAAATAAAATGAAAACAAAAAAAAACTAAAATAGAATGCAAAAATAAACAAAATAAAACCTCAAAATAAAAATAAAATAAACATAAAAAGCAACAATAGACAAAACAAAACTACAAATAAAATGCAAAAAAGTAATAAAAAATAAATCCAAAACAAAACACACACACACAAAAAAAACAGAACAAAAAGAAACAAGACAACAACAAACTTAAAAACACCAAAAATAAAACAAAATAAAATTAAATAACTAAACATACAAAAACTAAAACAAAATGAAAACAAGACAAAACAAAACAAAAAAGAAAATGCAAAAAAACTAAAACTAAAAACAAAAGACAAAACAATACAAAAAAAAACAAAAATAAAATGTAAAACAAAAACATTAAAAAATATTATGCTTCTGCAAAAAGACTTTTTGAGTTTGCTATTCCTTTGAACATGCCTGGCAATCCTATAATAAATCTGTTAGAGGATTCAAACACAGCAAACACTGATGACCCAAACCCAACAAATAGAGCTATATTTCTTTCCACAAACAGCCGTATTTCCTTCAGGCCGCAGCTTACATAAGCATATATACATTAGCGATGGTTAATGAGAATGCCATTGTGGGAGGCAGAAAACATCTCCGTTGGGAAAAGGCTTGGATGTTATTCCTCCAGGAGTGGGAATCCCGGAGCAGTGCAACACAAGTCTTGCCTACATGAAACTTTCCAATGGAGTATAATTAGGATTCAAGATATTTTCAAGGGCTTCAGAGGTCTGGGTCTACAGAGAGATAGAAGGGCAGGGGAAGTGAGGAAAAATATACCTCAGCTACATTTGCTCTTGCTCTCCTCTATTTAAGGAATGGAGCTGTGATCCCATGGGGTCCTAACAATCTTAAATAGATAAATATTTTCTCAGCTTTAAACGATAAGAGAATAGATTGAAATGGAAGGGAAGGTGGGGGTCTGTTTGAATATGGGGTTAGCAAGAGGACATAATACATGCTTGCGAAGCGAGGTCTTTATTGCTAAGCTTTTAAACCGACATATGATGATTGACATTAGTAATTCCCAAGTCTCAGATTGACAGGTATTTAAACGTAATAAGGAAACAATGCATTTGGAGTTTTAAGTAAAAAGGGCTTAAATTTTACATGATCAACCAGGGTGAATCTGTAACGCCCCTGTGGACTGTTTATTGTGGCTTCTTCCCCTTTTGTTGGTTTAGCCCATACTATCATTAGTTAATTACCCTCATTGTGATCACCTGTCTGCCACTAATTATCCACCCTATATTAGTTCCTGTCTGTCTGAGCCTTAGTGGTCGGTTATTGTGAATGTTACCCCGAGTGTGTGTGTCTCACCTTCCTGAATCTGCCTTGTTGTGTCTACATTAAAAGT